CTTTACGGACAGTTTCCTTGTTCGTGAAAAATTTAGACCGAAATGTCGCGTTTGTTTGTGTAGGTATTAAACTAAATTTTATTGCAAATACCTACTTCAGATTTTATTTGTAGAGATTGTCTCTATATCAGCTACTTAAACTACATTAAAACAATGTAGACATTTTTATTGCTTTAAAATTCTAGATTATATTAAGAATAACACTATTTTTTATAAAAAGCATTTTAGATGTTTTAATTATTAATTTTTATCATGCTGTTTTTGGGATGACTTCATATTTTATTGATGTAATTTACTTTTTAATATGTAATGATAATTACAAATTTATTTCTATGTATTAACTTGCGATTTAAGATACACAAATTCAGTTGAAAACTTTATTTGCATTTACAGCAAATTAATATAGTGAACATAACTTACCCATTGCATAGAATGCTTTTTTTTATATAAATTAATTTTATTAAATTAGTTTATTTTTATTTTCTATATTTTTTTATTTTTAGTTTGTTTCGCGTGTAATATATTTTTTATTTTAAATTAAAATGTATTATTAAATTATTAATAAAGTTATAATTTATGAAATTTTAAAAATGTGGATTAATAAAATTTTGTAATGATTATATGATTAATTTAGCATCATAAATTATTTAAGTATTTATGAAGAAAAAAACCGCGAGTTAAATTTTTGAATCTCAATTAAAATTTTTTAAATATTCTATGTATGGGTATAGATACAGTCACTGATGTGTTAAGATGCATTAGCAAATGTGAAATATTTAAAACAGATCAAAATTGCAATATATAGAGATTAAAGACGTAAAAAGATTATAAAAATATTTAAATTATTGTAATAGAAATTATTATCAACTTTGTATGTAACACTTTACATGTGTTAATACATCTTAACAATATATATAAATCTCAATATTGCTTCCAAGAGATAGATGCTTTATATAAAAAAGATGCAATTATAATATATATTAAGTTAAAATATATTATATATATATATATATAATGTTTGTTAATTTAAAGTATAGTAGGAAGTACAAAACGGTGATATATGGTATCTCAGTTTTCATTAGCAGCGATTGGCGAATCTCTATATTAATTTGATTATTTATAGTCCAAGCTTTGTAGCTTTAAAAAAAGAATATATCGATCTTTCTTTGCGATGATATTAGAACGTCGTTGAAATGAAATGGATATTTAAATGCGGCGATTATATACTCTTTCTAAAATTTGCTTATCGATAATATGGAACGATGATTGTGTTAGTAGTCAATACGAGATAAATGAGGTTGACTTAGATTAGCGAGCTAGAAATTAGTAATTAGTATTATATATGCCAGAGGACTTATTAAAATTATTAAGATGGTGCAGGAAAGAGAGAGAGAGGTTTATTTATCATATTTGATAAATAAACTCGAAAATGAAATTGCATAATCTCGAAGCTATTTCTATTAAATAAAGCAATTGCCAATCGATTCTAACGCATTGTTTTCCATTTAGGGAAAACATTTTTTTAAGTATCTTTTTGAAGAGAATTTAAATCAATATCTATTTATCTCTCTATTTAAAGAATCAGAATTTAATATAAAAAATGACGAAGCTTTTGCACCAGCCTAATAATTGATTTATTCAGATGAATTTATTCGAAATATTTCACAGTTGAATAGCTGAGACAAAGAGAAGGTACAATATTTCCGGAGGAAATATTTCTATATTTAATAATAATTACTTATACATATAAAGAGAATATATTCGATTTCGAATACGTGTAGCTGGGTACACCTTGGATCGTAAATTGGCATAATACCCTTAAATATACGGCCTATATATACCTTTAACAACCTTTACAAGTAGTGCAGTAGAAAATAGTTTTCTCATTTTGTATCGTGTAACGCAGCAGTGCAATTTTCACGTTTTTCCTAAGAACAGAGTAAATATATATACAATGTGGATATCACAATGCAAAATGACGATAAACATAAAAGAGGTAATCGATATACTTGTACCATAAGAGAATATAAGCGCGCGCGCGTCAAAATACAGGCGTTAATTGTTATATTTTATAATAACTTTTAAAAGTTTTATCGTAATCTAATAATACCCGGTAGGAATATCCGTAGATCAATGTCTTATGCGCATATTACACGCGCACCTAATACTTAAGAGGAAATCTTACTTACGCTATGCAAACGTAATCTCTAAGTCGTGCGTACGCGAATCAACCTCGTGCTCACGGAAAAAAAAAGACGCATTTACAATACTCGATGCATTTAATGCCAGGCATTTAAACGTTCTTCCTGCATAAGAGGAAGAAGAGATACTCCAACGTAGGAACAAATAATGCTGATTAATTGTAATCTCTTATACTTACCATCGCGCTAATCTTTATGGCTTTTACGCGTTCGTGGTTGGAAGGCAGGATATATCGTATATATATATATAAGCAAACGTTCATACAATACTTAAAAAAAAAAAAGAGTTTTATTGACTCTCATGTAATTGCACGCAAATTCGACTCGCATTTTATTCCGTGCTTTAAGCGGAGCTAAATACTTTCTGAACCAAGAGAGCGACGTGTATCGTGAAGTTAGATGATGCGTATGTCACTCAAATCTGATACCTCGAGATTTAAAAGAAAAAAAAAAAGAGATAAAAACGTTATCGCAAACGTCTTAAGCAAATGATGGATTGCCGGCTTATGTACTTAGCGCCAGGTGAAAGTCTCGATTTATATGTTAATTCTTTTTGTGGTAGTAGTAGTAGTAGTAGTAACGAAAGAGATAATCATAACGAGCGACAGCACGTGCTCGTATTCATGTGTGAACGCGTTTCTCTTCATAATCGAGCGTTAGATCGAGCGGAGAAGGCGATGCGGCTTTTCAGTGCCACGTTTGTGCGTTTTTGATATTAAATTGATTTGTATGATAACGCTCTAAGCCTTCTATCTGAAAAAAAAAAATGGTACCAATAAACTCGGAATTTGCCTTATCTCATCCAGAAAGCGATATGCTCCTCATTTATTCCCCGTTATTTACTTCCCCGCGGTGAATGCCGTTCCTGGAATCTCTCTCTCAGAAAATCACCTTTCCATCAGTGTCGTCGAGAAGAGGATAAGTCTTGACAAATTGAATTGGCATCATGCGAGGATAGAGCTGATCGTAGAAGAGGAAGGGAAGCGTGAGGAAGCGGCGTTTTCTGTAACAACCGTTCCCTGCCCGCGCGCGAGCATCATCAGCCGTTTCGTTCTCTTTAATCCTAACAGAACATCGCTGCCGGAAATAATGATGTCCCCTCGCGCGTGTCCCCATGCAGCATGTCCACACCCGGACGCCGGGCGACTGTTCAGTTTCCGAATTAGACAGATGACAGAGAAGACTCTGGAAGAAGTCCACGTGTTACTAGAGTATAGTGAAGACGCCGCTCGCGCCGAGAATGCGATGCGTTTCGCCCGCGAGATAGCACACGATAATAAATATAACAAATAACGTTGCGTCCAAATATGTTTGCGCGCGGCGCGTTTTGCGCTCTGTGGACCGTAACACTTCTCCTGAACGTTAGCGTGGCGGAATGGGTGGACATGCCGCAGTTCTCGGACGAGACCAAGATTTACAGGTGAGATTCTCTCATGCCACATCGCAGCCGTTTCGTTCTCCGAATCGTTTTTTCCTCTGGATTAATATCGTGTGTACTCTTTAAGGATACCTTCTGTACAGCACGATCAGTTCTACAAGTTCAGACGCGGTGACGCGGACAGCGGCATTAACTTTCCCGGTGGTCAGCGAAACGGTAGCGAAGCTTATCGTCGCCCGGACGCCACAGCCGCGCACGCGGTACACAACAGAAGGACGGAGCTCAAGAAGATGAATTCCGTCTCGGTGTCAACGACGCCGACGAATTTATTCCCCGATCAAATCGCCGACAGTTTCGCGGACGTCGGCGCGACGATTCGCCCTGCGACGACCACCGATGCCGCGACCGAGGTAAACGGAGGAAAGGCATTCGTCGGACAAGCAGCTGAAATGAATAAGAGATTAAAATTTGTACAAACAAAACAAGTTTATTTTCTTTTCCTCGATTAAACAGCGTAGACATTTTAAATGTTTCAGAATAAATTAAGTAACAAGAATGATGCGATCTCGCCAACGAAGGATACAACGGTTAATACACTCACGACACAACCACCACCGGATATCAAACAGCAAGAAACGTCGCGGGACAAATACGACAACGACACATCGAAGCGGGACGACGGCATACTCCAATACCTGCCCATAGACGTACTGAAAAGTGTTCACCGTACTTTGCGGTCGCAGCCGACGTCGGTCGAGGGGAAAATTTACTTTCTCAAAACGTTCGAGAAGACGCTGATGTCAGAGATAGGTAAGACTTTGCACACTCCTGGCGCGCTATCGAGACGCGAAAAGTTGTCATCTCGTATCATCGCATATTCCATTTATCGGCAGAATCTCGCCTTACCACTACTATGGCACCAAGTCGCAAAATAAGAGGTGTCGAGTATTACGGGCACGACGATCACGACGATCATTCGTTAGGATTCCCTTCGATCGAAGGCGCACTGATGGCCATATCGTTCCTCACGTTCGCAGTTTATCTCGTTCGATTAGTCATGGTAAGGAATATTCGAGACGCTGATCTCCCGGATCTAAACTAGGATCGAACACTAACTGTAAAATTGCACTTCGCTTTCTTCGATACGTATATATACTACTGAGGGGATAAAATTCGTTGCAGCTTCTCCTACGGAATATTAACATGCCCACGACCACTACGACCACCCCCACAGTGTTCCTCGGCAAAAGAAAACGATCCACCGATCTCGACGACGACACCGCTAGGATACTTAACAACATTAATAGTTTCGCTCCCGATCTTTAAATATGTAATATAAAATAGTGTATTATTGGTGGTGGGAAACAGCGCTGGAAAATGGACAATTCTATATGAAAAAAAAAAAAAAAAACACGTCGAAAATATATGATAACATTTTTTCATATCGTTGATCTTTTCGGAAACTTCCGAAAAAATCAACTTTGGTATTAAAAAACGAGTAAAAGATTTGAAAACTTTATATATGTATGTACATGTAGAAAAAGATTAAAAATTCTATAGCTTTAATAAGTCACGATTTTTCGATTTTCACAAAATCTGCTTCTATAAGATCAAAGTCTTGTATGAAAGATCATTCTCATTCGAATATTTTCTACGTCTCTTTTCACGTAAGATTACTCCTTTCCCGATTATGCCCACCAATAATGGCGTACTCTGTCTATAAGTCTACAGCTCGTGAAATTAAAGCGGAATGTACCAGCGACGTTATCAACATATATATATTATCAATACCGATATTATCAGTGTACCGAATTTCTCATTTTACGATAAACCGTTACAACTTAGCTTGTACGTCTATCAATGGCGTTGAAATAATCGAGGGAAACGCATTGACGTAGATTTCCGTGGGGTGTCGTAACGGTAATTCGCGCAACGCACCGATGAGATACGCCAGTTTTGCTCTATCCGTTCGATACGTATTGGAATGTTTCTGGTGTGCGACAACATCCTGCGATAACAAGCTAGACCACGTCGTGCTATACAGATCGAGTGACAGACAGTAGGGATGCTGGCATCGGTCCTTAGTCTCGAACATTAATCTTTCCACCTCTTTCTGCGTCTCGACGAGTATCGTCCGATCCGTGAGCTCGACCGACGTTCTTTCAGTCCACTAAAAAGGACAGAAAAGTAATGTTTAATGCAGTAGGCTCATTAAAAATTTAAGAGTCTCTTTTTAAAAATTTAAATTTCTCACCTCGGATAACAAGATACATATCACATATATAACATCTATAAAAGGTAGTACGACGTTATGCAAGATGGAAAACAGTTTGGTGTTATTTCCTATAAAAATTGAATCATTCGCTGTGTACAAGCAGTTCTGTGATAGCAATACGTTCAACGACTTTTCCCATTCCGTCCTGATTAAGGCTTCGTCTTCGATCGGACGCATCACGAATTCTGTGCTGAGCAATCTTCTCAACAGTGCATATCGTTCCAAAGCTGCTTCTGCAAATTAAATAAAATACGAGTTGTATTTGCATGGAAAAAAAATAGTAATTACTCTTTTGTATTTTATTATTATATCAATCGCTTAAAGTCGTTTAGTAGTGTTTACCAATTTGCGTGCCACTCTCTGCTATCGTTGCAGTTATGAAAGCCGTTTGCGCCAAAAAAATCAGGGTCGGATTGATATAAATCGCAATATTAATGGCAGGTACCGCTACTTGCAGAGTCCGTTCGGACAAGGGATGACCTTTGATATTTGAATAATTAATTTGTTTAACTCCTTTATGCCTTTGTTTGATTTTTAACGTGTTCGAGGAATCGACTACTATTAACTCATCGTGCGGTTTTAAGGATTCCAATATTTCCTGTTTGACCGTATCGTTCGCGGTGCTGCAACAAACAAATTGCATAATAATATATTCAACAATTACAACTCAACATAATAATGTATTCCAAAGAAGATTAAAAGTCGTTTAAATGTATCTATAGCTAAGACAGTTAATTAACGAGATGGAATGATTAATGTTATGCATGAATATTTACTGTTGCAATTCCGAGCTACGCAAATTCCAAGTTGCACTAAATTTAATACTTACATTTCGGTTTCGTGCATGAAGGCTTTCAACGACTTGGTAACGAAGCTCTTGAACCATCGATAGTCCTGGGCCAGCGAATCGAGCGTGTACGGCTCCTTCGGGTTCGTTTGAATTCGTTCATTGACGAGCAAAGCGATGATGTTGATCGGGATGAGCACGGTATTCCTCTTGTGCGCTTCTATTATAAGATAAGCAATATTCTCCACAACTGACGACGGGATTTTGTAGGAGGGCTGCAGAATTTTCCTCTGGCGATACGACCTGTCCACGAATCGGCTGGTGGATATCGGTTCCCCGATGTTAAAGAAAATGCGTCCGTGCGAGAAGGGCTTCTGCAGAATGGAGAGCGACCGGAAAAGTCCGGTCGTACTCTCCTTCGGTTTCGGGACGCCCAGCATCTCGTAAACGAATAACAACTCCTCCGGCGGGCGTTCGTAATTAATACTCATGGGTACAAAATGTATGTCCGGCACGTCGCCTTGAAGCAAACTCTCTACAATGATTGACAGAAGACCTGCGAAAAGAAACGACACCGAGATTTTTAATATCCGTTCGGCCTCGCGATGCGAGATTACTCAAAAATTCTTTCCCTTGCCCTACCGTATTTCGGCATCGTCGTCTTCTGGCTGCGGCTCCGCGTGCCCTCGATAAAAAATTCTATCGCCCTGTCGCTGTGACTGACGATAGTGCTGATGTACGATCGGAAAATCTGCTTGTACAGTACGTCATTCGAGAAACTGCGTCGTATGTAAAAGGCTCCAGTTTTTCGCAACAGTTCTCCCACTATTTTCATATTGTAAAAATCCATACCGGCCGCGATGTTGGGCAGTGCCATGTCGTAGGAAAAGAGAATATATGACAGTAGAACAAAATCCAAGTAACTCCTGTGCGATGGCACGTAGATATACTGTACTTGCGATATTCGTGTCTCCCTCTTCAAGTTGGAAAGCATGGTTTCATTTATATAAATCTTCGAGAACATCCTCTTCATAGCTTTCGTAATAAAAATACCTGAAATTTTCAAACGCAAGTATGAGACCGTTCGGTCAGCGAATGGATCTGCTTGATCGTTATTAGTGCAATTTTATTTTATCTTGCCGAGACAACAAGAGTCATTATTTGACAACAAATACAAGTCATTATTTGACAGAAAATTATAGTCTGCCTTAGCTATTGCTAAATTAATTATTGAAAAATATTAGAAGGTAAAATAATGAATATGTATAATGCATGGAATTAAAGGATAATACAATGTTCATCAAAAATATATACCTAGCCAGCGAACCGTCGCCAGATCCGCTTTGCTGGCCATCTCGTTTATCATGGCACGGGCACTGCCCTCGACATCTTTAACACTGGCGCCCGTCGTCCTCGCCACGGTGTCGATGGCAGCTTTGACCTGCTTGTCGTGCAGGACAGCCTGCATGACCCTCTCCCTGTCGTAGACCGACTCCGGCGGCAACATGTGCGGCAACGACGGATCCATGGGTCGTGTCGCCCACAAAAAGTCACAATCCCGCCGTCTGTTCTCGAGCAGGTCGACAAACCCGGGGTTATGCTCCATCCTCGACTCGAGTGAGCGACAAGACACCTCGCAACACCAGCTTGTTATTCACTGCACTTCCAATATTTGCCGAGACCGAGATTTGCAAGTCAATTAGCTCGACCCTGGCACTTTTTTATGAGTACGTCGATTTAAATGCGTCGGATATGTTTGACAGCCAGATATGTTTCAAATCATCACGTAACGAGACTTGTATTTTAGTTCGCTCACATAATGGGAAGGGTTTCTCGAAAGTGTTTCTCGCACTTGTATGTCTGGTAAAAAAAAAAAAAAAATTATATAAATTTACAATTTTAAACAGCCACGTACGTAAACGAGATGGTTTCTAAAAAAAGTCACATTTGCAAGTTGATTACGAGCTGAAGCTGAGAGAAGTCTTACTATTTTTTTCCTTCTATTCCCCACAGCGGTTACACCTGTTTCACCTGTTCCACCCGTCCCGCTGATACGACGTTATGCCTCATTAATGTTGTGATTAATTATCTTGTCATTAAGCTGTGATTAGCTGGCCGTCGCCATCATGGAATTCCTGAATGCACCGCAGTTATGTTTTTGTAGGCTTGCAATTTCTGCACTTGGAACGAGACAGATAACGGGATTGGACACAGGTGAGAAAAGGAGGAAGAGCGAAGGGTTAACTTACGAGAGGAACGAGGGCCCTATACGTGCTCTTTCTAGCTGCACCGCGGCTGTACCGGAACCGGCGAAAGACCACAGAAAGCATCGTGAGAGCGTGAGATAAGTCGTCTGAAAAAAAATCGCGATACGGCGCAGCGGTACGGTAAACAATTCAATCTTCTTCTTTTCTTTATGACATCTGCTATCAGTTTTAAAGCGAGTGTCAAGATCCTGTGTGCGTTAGACAGCGTGTAAGATGAAACCGAAAGGGCTGTTGTTCAGTGAAATATTAATGCGAAAATTCAGGAACACTAAATGCCCTCGCGGGGGTGAACAATTCAACAAACAATCCGGAATCCCTGGAACTTGTGTATCTTTGACGTCGCGCAGCACCCCGGCGTGTTTATTAGTTAGATACGTAAAGTCAAGCGCACTGTTAGACACGCGCGATGTTAGACGCGACTGGGCGCAACAGAGACGCCCGCGTGACTCGCGAGGTCCAGGGGCGCAATAGGACGCGCGCGAAATTAGGTGCAACAGGGACGGGCGCGTTCCTTTTCCGCCCCCTCCCCCGCGTTTTCTGCATATGCTTATGTAATCCTTTTCCGCTGAACTTCTTGCACGGTTCATCTTTTCCCCTTTTTCTCTTCTCCGTGCCAGACGTTCAGGTAAGAAGAAACAGTAGGCCTCACACAAAACGGGATAAAAATAAAGCGTAAGATTTAAGCGCGAAAGGGGCAAGTAACTAAAACCTAGCGGTGCAGATCTCTAATTATTGGCGACACTGCAGAATCTTCGAATTATCTCAAGCGCACGTTCGCTCCTCTCCACAGTCCATCCGTTCACTCCGGTTCGGATATAAGGTAAACGATTAGGTAAGCGATTATTTTTAAACGACAAAAGAATCATGCACTCGCGAAAAAGAGCAAGATGCGAAACGACAAGGCACGTCGGAAGGAAAACATATATATTTTATATTCAAACATTCGTTTCTTCGCCAGCTCAGCTCAGAGTGATTTCGGCCAAACCCCCGTTATTAACCGACAATTATAATTTATAGCAAAATATTATTTTGTTGGTAACATGGATAGAATAATCAATTTTTTGTAATTTAATGTAGAAAAAATATTAAGTTATGAACGACGAATTATATGTGGTATAGTTAAAAAAAGCAATTCTGTTGGAGCTGTAATATATTGTATATTATAATCACTGATTAAATTAATCGGAATTTCGAGTCGCGTCACTCGCGTCCTTAAACTTTTAAGAAAAAATATGCTATAAACAACGCGGAACATATGTATATATGTAACGAATGTAGCATCACAGAATACAGATTCAATGTACTATGTATCAATTCCATCTCGTATTACAGGTATAAAATCTGTGAGTATCGCAAAAGGACGATGCTAAGCCTCTATGATCGAATTTTTGTCTCTACTCAAATTAACGATTAATGAATAAATCTGACGAACTCGGAGAGAGTAATGGAGATACACTGGCTAGAATAAAGTTTTTTTATTACACTGTAACAGCATACACGATTTCTCCTGAGTCGCAGGTAATTTTTTCCCTCCCTTTTATTACTTCGACAATATATCAAAGGCGTTCCGATGGAATCGTTTATACGATTGTGATATCGAAGCTAATTTACCAGTTACTTTAGAAAATTCATACTGCCGTTTTACAGAAAGGTGTATAACGCATTGCCAGTTCAATTTCTCCCCGCAATTACGTTCCAGTGACTGTTTGAGAAAACATATATCTTGCATGGATCAAAGATGTAAAAGTTAAGCCTCTTATCTCCTCTGATAAAGGACATCTTACGATTGATAAAAGTTCCCAGATGGAACTGTTTTTGAGATACGTTAATAACATTCACTATTTTTGTTAAATTTCACAAACCATTTTAACTATATATGATAAAAATAATAAGAGCATAAATAATAAGAGTAATAATTTTCCCTTCACGAAGGAACGTATTTTAAAATTTTTTAAAAACGTATGATAATACAATTATTTAATAATTTTCCCAAACAGTCCCCGGTTTCAGAGATAATCGCATGGATATATTAAAATGTAGCACTCCATATTTATTTACGTATAGTCCTCCAGTTCTTCTTCAACATGCACCTGTTTCCTATGCGACAAACTGTTCACACGTGTCTATTTATGGCCTCCGAGTATTAATTATCGATAGAGATTTCATAAAAAAGTACTTAGGGCAATAAAATCGTCGCTCGTTTTGATTTTTTTATATCTGTTCCGTTAGATTGCTCTTAGTTGGTGTTTCACGTGACTGTTAGAAAAAAAAAAAAAAAAGAGTACAAAAACAACATATAATCCGTTAATAAAGAAATTCGAATAAAGAGACTAATACGTTATAAAAGCGTCATTAATCGTTGTCGATGATCCAATATACATATATATATGTATACCTTATCGTAAAGTAGATATGCGCATAGGTAACGTATGCAAAGTGTGGCGCGAAATATAAAATATGTTATAATATGCAGGCTTATATAGAAGCAACCAGTTTGTCTTTTGTTCTCTTTGTACTTTCAACAGCAGCAGATACGTCGATTTTGCTCCGCATGTCTCTTTTAGTACTTATGTAATTGTGCTGAGACTTAATTGAGGCGAAACGGCTCCGAGTTACGTGATTGAGAAAAGAAAAGGTGAGCATTAAACGAAAACCCTCTCTGACGTCGCAAAAGTATTTGATTAACGCATGCGATGGGGGATACATTTTTTTTTAGAATGAAAACGTACCTTATAGTAATTAAGATATCGCCAGGAATATCGATTAGTTAGAATATCGACAGTTAGCGCAATGTGATCAAAGAGCGCATCGTTTCGTCATGTCGATCATATGAAAATAACAGTTCAGCGTTTTTCTTAGCATTTTTCTTTCGGATTATCTTCTACATATGCGTTATCGCACGCGCGGTAACATGGAAATATTTCACGGACATAAGTATATAAAATATTTAGAATGCACGTGAATTTGCATTATTTTTTTCCTTCTCACAACTACGTCTCGCGATTGCGCTTCATCATTGCGAATTTATAATTTTAAGATCGGACACAGATAGGATCTGATCTCAGTTGCCGAGTATTACCGTGTATCGTTTACAATTGTACAAAACTGTACCTCGTGTTATATCTATAGTTATCGTTCAACGCACGTTTAATTCACTTTTCATTCTTATTAGTTACGAGAGAGCCATGCTTAAGCGAGAAACAAAATTTTTATCTCTCATATAGAATTCCTCACAAGTGGCAAAATATGAACAAAATTAAAACGTACATTCTTGCTCGTTGTATTTTCAAACGTTGAGATCTGTGTTAGATCTGAATTGTTCCTCAATATTGTCACAGTCGGACAAGCAGGCAAAATCGTTTTTTAGAAATTTATAGCCGTAGTTTCGCCATTATTTCAAATTCAACAGGCAATTGTACATGTCGGTTATTTACAGCAATGTTACTATAATAATTAATTAAACAATTGATTTTTCGGACGCACTTCTCCAAATCGTTTTCTGGAATGTAAATGTGCTGGTCATTGCGTGTCGATAGATTCTTATCAAATTTTCTGTTATCGTTTCGTTTAAATAGTTTTACATTTCTTACTTGTGTTAGACACTTCTAACATTTGATTAGCAGCATTCTGTATGGCCTAATAAACGTTTTCGTTCGCGTTTACCTAATGGAATTTACTTTTTTTGTTTTCATTATCTGCTATGTAAAGCATCTGCATTCATCTCCATTGAAATTAAAATTTAACTTGAACATTCACGACTTCGAAGATATTCATGAAATTATTCTAGAATAAACAACTCTCATTATTGTGAAAACGTTGCGTGTGAAAGGATTCAAGGAGGAAACAAAAAAAATCTGCGTTACAACTCGTACTTGTAATTCATATGTAAATAAATAAATAAATAAATGTATCTATTTGGATCTAGCGTTTCACAGCAAGGACAAAAATAATTCACGGCGATGATTGAATAATAATCACGCATCGTGAAATGAGAATGAAGGTGATTTTTAGACCTGTCTGAGGTGGCTTCTTACCTGATAAAGTTTTCGTTTTAAACTTTACACTCTGTCTCTTATAACAATAACAACAACAATAACAATGAGTACAATAATTACAGTAACTGCGATTTCTTATAAATATTATTTCGTTTTAAAGGACATTATTACTGATTTGCGTGTGTGAGGAACATAGATTACGGTGATGTTGTACATAAAAAATACGTTCGAAACGTGTTCGCGGCGATGCAGTCTGAATTCTTCGGTGTCGAACGAAGAAGCGTTTGCAGACAAGCGAGTACATTGTTAAACGTATTTGGACATCGTATGTACAAATAACTGCATCGGTTGTACTTCGCTTAAAATTAGATCGAAGCGTTATCAGAAGTTCGTTAGAAGATAGAGCGATAAGTCTTGTCTTTGGTCCCTGAACCTACGACTCTTGTATGACTTACTGCTTAGCACCTTGAGATTTTGTCCTCTGATTACATACTGCGAGCTAAGAAGTGTAGCCAGCGTGCGAAGGAACATGCGCGCGTGTAATGAAATCTTAATAGCGCATATACTTATTTAAAAATATTCATTTCTCAATTCATACGCATTCTCGTTATATTCCTGCTTCTGCGTTTCAGTCGTTTATGAGCGGTAGTTGTACTATTTTTAAATTTTATTACTCTATAAAAAAGAATTTTATTTCGTATTAAATTTGATTTCTCTAAATAAAAGAGAATTTGTTTACTGATTCTTATTCTCGTAATGAATGCTATGTTTTGTGTTCAACATACGTTCCTCTAAGAACACACAGGCAGGCAGATATCTAACGTAGCATCACATACAATTCTTAGCTCCGAGTTTCAATAATAAAATCAAATATCCTTATAAAAATGCGAGATCGAAAACCAGATTGCCAATTTTACAGGAATTAATGAATACGTGAAGGAAATTTCAAATTATTAAAACTAAAGCGAGGTGAAGTGATAGAATATTTTTTTACTCCGACGAAATTATCCTTTTGAATATTTTTTTACTTCGACGAAATTATCCTTTTAACATATTTATGACATACCTTAAAACATACTTATTCCAATAGAAAATATATACAAATAAACTTATCCTAATTAAAAAATTATATTATCGAATATCCATTGTGAAAACTTGAAATTGGCAATTTGGCTAGTTTCAATCAATGTATCTATATATGCAAACACACTTTGATTAATCTCACATAAATGTTTTAGGAGGTTCAGGGAGTTCAGTTTTAAGTTCAGTTTAAGAGATGATATTGGAGCGCTTATTGATAAACGTTGCGTTCTAATAATTTAAAAAAATTAATAAATTTGACAGTATTTTTCGTAGACTGTAAATGCAAATGATTTTGCAAATAAATCGATAATTTCCAAAAATATTTATATAACTAATAATCGGGTTATATATGTATTGTATGTACATATACGTATATGTGTATATGTATGTGTATGCATGTATATATATATACATACATACACACAAATATATACGCATATCTATTATGTGTTAATATATATAATATTTTTCAATGTTCTTTTTTATTCGTTTAACGACACATTAGAAAAATGCAATCGTGTTTTTAAAAAAATATGAGGTATATTTTAGCTTATTATTACGCCTCGTATATATATATATGGCCTTTTAATATCACGGTTGCTCTTCTCGAATTGCTCTCTTGTACATTGTGTTTGAAATAAAGTTTATATTGTTTTTGTGCAATTTAATACGCGATGATTGTGCGATACATAAAGATGTTATCGACATAGTGGTGCTGACAGATTTGTCAGATTGCAGATTTCGTAAGCGTGACTCTGAAAATTCAGGCTTATCCCTTATTCGTCATACATATATATATATATATATATATGTATATATATATATATATATGTATATATATATACACGTATTTATTGCGCGTACGTATTAAAAATGTGTAAACTTTAAAAGCATATCCGAATAATGCTATTTATCCTTACACACTCTATCTGTCTTCACAAAAGGCCCCGTAGTACGAAAAAGAAAGAAGTATAATTATGTAATATACTCGACTTGTTTTGCTATTGCCCATATACAAATTTTTCCACTTAGTCTCTGCCTTGCGGTTCGATGTGTTTGTGTTTTTGTTGGTTGTGTTTCCGACATTTGGCCGTACGTTAAATATCCCGATCGTAGAGTAAAATGTACAGTAGGGAAAGGAGGACGATTATTAATTCTCAAGAACGTTTCTGCGCCCATTTTAGATCGTCGGCTCTGGGCCTGCAGCCGGTGGACCACTCGATTATCACCTCCAAGATGTACCAAAAGTGAAGCTTCTCTAACGGCCAGTTCAGCCATCCCGTGGTGATGCAAAAGTAAGTCTCGTGGGGCGCGACGTGGTGGACACGGTGATGCTTCCTCGGCAGGATAATCCTGTGCTCCTGAAGCCATATGACCCAGGCGGGTAATCCGAAATACGTATGCGACCACTTATGTATCTGTAAAGTACATGGCGCATCCTTTAATCGCACGGCAATATGCAAAGCAGCGTAATTTCTCGCGAATATTTGTGTTTAACTAAAATTAGAATACATCATTGAAAATCCAGAAGATAATTTTACTGGAATAGAAATATTCACGACGTCTATTTTTCTAATATTCCTCAAATTGGATACTCACCTGATTAGTCATTGCTACAAAAATGGCAAGCAGGAACCAATAGCACGTCCACACGAACTTCTGTTGCATCTCCACTTCGGACAGCGTTAGAAAGTCCCATGTGAGCTTGGATAGGACTGGTATCGCGACCATAAAATTATCGCCGTTAGTCTCTATGAAATCGTGTCTCGTTATACTGGTGGGATCTATGTGATGCTCGCGGAATGGTCGTAGAAAATTCTGAAAGGAAAAAATTCTCCGTAAATAAGAATTCACGGATTTATTCTGAGATATTCGTTTCTATATATTTCTTTTTTACCTTCCCCAGAATCGGAAGTTCAACGGATCCCCAGGTGTCCGCGGCCCAGTGAACCAAGCCGGAGCCAAAGTCGGCGGTGATGATACCGCACAGTGCAGCTATTGCTATGGAACTCAAGTTTTCCAGCCGTAACTTAATGAGCACGAACATAGAATTCACGGCTATGAGAGTGATGCAGATCCCCACGCAGATGCACTCTTGCGTTCTCTTCCCTGATGAAGGACATAATGTTGTTAGTATAATAATTCGTCGTTATAAATTTCTTTAATTCATCGATACTTAACATGTAAGTATTTTTAATAATAAATAGCCAGATTTTGAAATTTTTAAAAGTCACGAGCGAAAATATGCGAAAAAAAGCGCGTTACACAACGGACTCGCCTCTTTTAAATTCAATGAAATACATTTACACATAAATCCTTGCATACGTTAATATCGCTCCCTTCCTTCTCGTGACGAGGCAAAAATTTTCTAAGTGTGTATACAGTATGCAATACCACATGTAATAGATTCTCGGTAACTCATAAATTTTAAGGAGGACACCGGCGGTTTATCGTCGCTATGCAAATGTGCTTTCGGAGATACGCGAAACGAGGGCGGCCGGTCTTAAAATGATCGCGATAAGGAGATTTCTATACGTACCGGTGCTGTATAGATTCGCGAGTTCCTGGGCGCCTTTGTGAGTCGGGCCCCACCTGGGCACAGTCCTGTCCTCCTCCTGCGAGGTCGGCACCACCGAGTTGGCATTGGGATCGTCCTCGAGCATCGAGTTCTCGTAGATTTGGCGCTCGGTCTTCACCGGCGCCAGGAAATTGGTCGCCATAGAACACGCGGCCGACGCGGCCTGTCCTAGGTTCGGCACTTTTATATCCTCCATTATGTTCTCCGAGGAAATTTCTTATTACGCAAGGCTACGCGAACGAGCGACAACGTTCTAGTGGCATGCTCCTGCGGGACTCGGGCACGTTTGGCAGAAATCGTTTGCCGGCATCAAGAGATGCTATATATTTCGTCTCGCTCGTAAGATGAATGAAGGCAATGGATTTTTTTTTCTTTCTTGTATATGTATATATATATATATATATATACATATATATATATATACGTTGAATTATTTCGGGACGATCACATTATGCGCCTCCCTTGATGCTCTCTTCTCGTCGCGCGACAAATCGTTCACTCCGGTCCGTGCGATGAAGTCATGAATTGTCAGACCGCGCATTATCCTGAGAGAAATTTAGAATCGTTCACTTCAGATCTTCCCTTGAATTCCTGAGAGAAATTTCGAACCGTTTACTTCAGATCTTCCGTGTTTTTTTTTTCAGGTATCAGAGACGTTGCGGCAAGCACCTGCAATAGAATGAAACATTCCCTGATACGAAGCCTCAGATGACATCATCTCAATCTTATCGTGAGCGTTACTCGGGTCGATATATATATATATATATATATATATATATATAGTAGGTGTTGCAGCTCGATTGCTTCTCTAGCAATCGAGGGAAATGTCGACAGTCGTAGATGAGCGTTTCCTCAGAGGAGCAAGCGGCTGGCGACTGACCGAAGAATTCGCGGTTCGCGTGGAGCAGCGTGGAAATGTCGCGCTTGACAACGAGCACATTTTGCACACATATATCCACGCAACGCCGACAGCTGATACTATCTAAATTGATATTACCCGTTTTCATACATCATTCATACGCAATTACCGTCAAATATTACACAGCACCGCGTATACATGCATTTCGTATACTGCAGTCATATACATTTACATCTCGTAATTGGGCTGTACGTATAATATCGCCGCGATTGTCGAGTGAAGGAAACACAAGCCGCACACCCCGAAATACACGAAATGAGCTCCGCTCAATTTCAAATTAGTCGCAGCGCGAGTCGTAAAGTGGGTTAATTCCGCACTTACACGGAATCGTGGAGAGACGTTACGTCTTTATATCTCCGCGAGCATCGCGTGAGTGTTCTCGAGGATTCACGCGACATCCACATTCACACTCGCGGGCCTCCTACGCTACCCGTTGAAATGCTCGCGCGGTATTCTTGTAACATTAACGATTCTCGAGCGTGACACTAAAAAGAGGCACATATTTGTACGTGTTAATGCGTTTACGCGAGCGCGCAAGAATACAAGAACGTATTTATAATGACGCTGAACGTACTCGCACATTTATGAAGTTTTTCATTATAATATGTGACAAATTGAGAAACATTGAATTATTTTAGTTTTAATACACATACATATCTTTTGCATATGTATAATTAGTGCCAAATACTTTTCTTAAAACACAGAATTTTTATCTAATTTTGAATCGGATTTTTTGAATAAAAATATCAAAGTATCCGTCGATTTTTAATTAGCTATTAAAAAAATATAATAAAATCGTATTTTTCAAATTTGATTTTAAAGAGATTTTATTTCGGTACAAAGAATTCTAATTTGAAAGTTTGTTACAAAAATAATATTGAAAACTTGAAAATCGTGCAATAATTGTGAAATAAATAATGGACCTCCAATGTTTTCGCTAAAGAAAAAAAATAACTTGGAGCCGGTCGAAAAATATGCAGTTCACAGGAAATGTATATATTTAGTGAAAATTATTCTATACACGGAGAGAATTTCCTTTTAAAATTTACCTTGAAAATCATGTTAATCATAAGATATAGTATTTCAACAAATTCGATGTGATTTTATTTTCTCAATATTTTTTTTACTGTGCACTACAATAAATTTGTTGTAGTACATATTTAAAAAAAATAATAAAAATCACATAAAATTTGTCGAAATACTATGTTATCCTACTATTAACATGATTTGCAGAGTAAATTTTAAAATAAAATTCTCTCCGTGTACATATATGTTTATTTATATATTTTTGCAGTGGTGTAACCAGAATGTCGGAGCAAAATCGTTCGATGAAACGGCTGTGTACTACAAACGGTGAAGGGGAGAATGTCAGCGCAAGAAAGGGAAAGCTATAACCTATTGCCCTGTGCGACGCTGGATTCGGGATCCTCAGAAGGTCGAGCATCGTCACTCGGCAGGTGCAAATTGCCGCTCGAATTGATTTTCGAAATAGGCTGGCTTTTTTATGCGCCCCCGTCCGAGGGGATCGCGTGCCGGTAATTAAACCGAAGGCGAAGGGTTAAAGGCTCTCTCGCACAACAACGTAACCGATCAATTTCTACGCCGCTATACACGCGGGCGTATCGCGTACGTTCATCATCCGCACGCGAAATTCACATCTTCGCGCCGTATAGACGCTCTCGGCTCTCTGCGGCGCTCGCTTATTGTTATGGCTTATCGCGGTTACCCTGGACGGAGGCGCGTCGTCGTTTGCGCCGCGCGCGACACGCGTGTTGTTATTAAATTAGAAAAACCTTTACACACCCATTTTCTTTCAATGCCACATTCGTTGCACACATTTCCGTCAATAATACGTAACTTGTTCCCCGACACTGAATACTAACGATCGTCCTCGAGTATGTCTTGATCTTGTAAAAAAATTACCTTGCAATCTGCATGCTATGAATATCGAAGAGAACGCAATATCCCCGAAGAGGCTATTAAATCTAAATTTCCGTAGCAACTTATTCAAAAGATAATATGCTGGTCTCGCGCATCATTAGCGGCAGACAGCTTAGCCGAGGTTTATCGAATAAACATAAGGATAAGTCGACCGTAAAGCCGCCGCTGACACAACAGATATCCTAATGCGCGACCGGTTCGCGGTGCGGCCGCACGAAAGCGAGATCAAAGAGAAGGCGAAGAGGAGACGGATTGAAGTGATCTCGTTTGATACTCGCGCAAGTCGTAATCTCCGTCGCATTGTACGTACCTACGTTACGTGAGCGTGTGTGTATCTTTCTGGCACGGTTCAAAGGTTCGTAACGCTGCATTTATTCGCACACGCCACCCGCAGGCAGAGACGTATCTCTCGCTCGCGTTCGGAGCATGCATGCATGCCGCCGCGCGCGATGGTCGATGATGTACGGCACCAAAGGACTCATGCAGGAGGAATGGCACGTCCGTCTCGTTAGGATTCAAATGAAATGAATATGAGCGCACGCGCGCGCCCGTATATATACACGTGCATATACGCGTCTCTGCGAGCGCTCTCTCCTCCCGCGACGATGGGCAAGTGCATGCATTCATCTACGCGTACGCATGCAGTGAGTCACAACGGTGTTTGTACTCCCATCCAGCTTGTCCCATCCCATCTAGCCATGCCTGACTTGTGACTTCAAACGATTGATATCTTCGCGAAAGCAAAGCTATCCTGGATATATAATTACTGAGGAAGATTTCGATTGACGTAATTTTTAATTAACTCCAAAAAATAGAAATTGGAGCTTCACAGCAGAATATAAACATATAATCGAAATTGTCCAGGAATTATCAAATTCAAAAGCGATTTCAATAAAATATTGATAAAATTATTTTAATGTAATAATTATACTTTGATCCAATTATATGAAATACTCTTGTGATATCGATATTCTACCGTTTCACTTTTTTTTTGTCACAAGTAGTAATTTTTGAAATTTTAAGATAGTAATCTTAAAATTTACGTAATAATTCGGAAACTTAAAATTAATATAATTCTACACGTTCTTATAAAAATTCTCTTCGAAAATACATCAATCGTTTGTTGCCGCAAGTAAATTGGCAGCGTGTGAATATTCTTATATATATATATATATATATATATGATTCATTGTATATAGTATACGACTCGTTTAATCTGAGGGCATCGCCGGACATAGATGGAATGCGCACTTGAGTATTCCGCTCGCGTTCGATGAGATCGGAATTCAAAAGAAAAAAAATTAAAGAATATAATTGAATCTATTAATATCAATGGATTTCTTTGTGCGATAGTAATACCACTTGAATAGCTCGTGGCGAACGGCATTATTGATTTAATTTTATTAACTGAGCAACATCAATTATTTATATAATTGATTGAAATATAAATCCCATAGATATCAGAAGGTGGTTTCATAAGTAGAATTTAAAAAATAAATATAATTTGTCGTTAGAGTTTAAAATATTGAGCCTAATGAATGAGTTTTTTTTTCTTAAGCAAATTAAAATGTTTTACCTTGTAAATTGCTATTGATCATATAACGCTGTGTCTGCGCGTATTTTTCTTTATATAAAAACTCCATAGAACTCATCTTTCAATTGCGAGACACAGAGATGGTAAACGATTCTTAAAAGCAGTCCAATTATATACAAAGGATGGTAGTATTAACGGTGAAACAAGGTTTTGGTCACGTTGGACGACTATAACGAGGCAGCTAAAAATAAAGTTAATTTATCCCAACACACATACACGCTTCTCTCTCACACAGGATTCAAAAGGATTGACCGTGGTGCACGCAATCAACTACCACTTGTGCTGGCGAACAGAACACGTACGTCGTCTCGCACGTGAGCGAAGGGTAACAGACACGAAATGCTGAAGGGATGTACCAGGGATATATCCCCGCCCCCCCTCCCCTCCATCCCTGACGAGGAGTACTTCATCGCTGGAAAAAGTGCGGATTCTCGACGGAGAGCTGCGGTAAACCCGACCGAGAGTGAACGTAGTTAGGACACATGGCACTTGCGCAAAAAAAAAAAAAAACTCCAATCTCGCTTCAACCGGATTTTGGAAACCGACGAGGTAACTTCACGATGTCGTACCTCCACGCTACTCTGTTGCTGCTGCCGGCACTCTCGAAGTGTCTCCTCCTCGACTCTTGACAGCAGCGGCGGCGGCAGCGGCAGCGGTAGCCGGCGGCGGCGGCGGCGGCGGGTGTTGACAGGATCGTCGACGCGCGACGCGGCAGCCATGCGAGAGGCTCGGCCTCGTCGTCGCCGCCGAGCTCAATTAGTCACTGGCGGGGTGGTTAGAACGACAGGCCGACAATAACAATGACGCGAGAGGAGGACGGACGACCGTCTTGCACCGGCACGTCGGCACGCACACACGTACGCACACCGCGGGCCGCGACGCATCGCGCGTGAACACGCGTGTATATAATCGCGCCGCAAGTAAGACACGTCTACCGCTCACGCCAGACACTCGCCGGCTGCACCCTGGTACTCCTGAGTATAGTAGGCCGGGTTCTTCAGGCGCTTTAGCCTTCTCGCGTCAGATAGATACACCCGCGGCTGGGTGTAGCCGGATGGGCAGCCAGTGATAAGCACTGCGTATACGCGAGAGGCTTGTCTCTCCCGGAGAGAGAGCGTTACTCCGACGAGGAAAGGAACACAGAGGAGTACAGGCGAAAAGATTATGAATGACAGAAAGAGAAACGCGGGGGAAGGGGTGGGGGTGAGGAGAGGAAGTAACGGCAGAAGGGTACGAGGGGTAGGAGCGCGTGTGCGCGCGCGCGCGCTCGCTTTCGCGACTCGGGCAGTTCGCGGGCTCGGTAGGCTCGTCTCTAGGAGCCTGCGAGAGCGAAACGCGCGGGCTGTCGCGAGAGGATCGACCTGGGAAGATACTCGAGGATCGTCGGCGAATCTGCCGCTTTCCCGTACTTTACCGTTCCACTTGCACCAGCCGACTCCGTCCGTTCGTCCGCGCGCGTTCCGCACCGCACACCGTACACCCCGCCACGTTTCTCCGCGACCGGCGCCGCCTGACGACAGCGTCGCGACGCCGTTTCTCGTGGCGCCGTCATGCGGTCGGCGCGCCTCGTCGATGCGCGTCATCGTGCGCGACTGGTGCACGCGTCGACGCCGCCGCCGGCCGCGTGCGCGCGGTGCCGCTGTATGTATGTACAATACGACGTACGTGGTATACGTGCGCGCTCCTGCCGCCTCGTGTGCGTGAGAGGCGCGAGACGCGCGTGCTGGCTGGCCGCTCCTCGCGTGCGGCCGTCGCGTCGAGGTCTCCACCGGCTGCTACACATAATTTCTCTGTCATTCTGTTAGATTAACCCCTTCGCGGAAGGTGAATTCGACCCGCGTGCTTCCCCCACATTTTTTATTCGGAGTTCTAAATAGGGCAGAACATTATTTGCACAAACACTAATTTTTGCACCGCGACGTTACATTTTCTATAATTTACCTATGCGAATTGTAGGGAGAGAGAGAGAGAAATATCGAATAATCTTTTTTGTGAATAATATTTCGTCAGAAGTTAGCATTTCCATCTAATTTGTTAGTTTACACAAACAGGCGCTGAAACTTGACGAGACCTTGCGCGTATTTCTGTTTACGTGCTTAAGAGAATTATAAGATTAAGCCAGTATACTGTAAGGTCATTTAATGAAGCCTTTTGTAGTTACAAGGACAATGTGTCTCACAGGTATCGGAAATCGTTAATGACGTGACGTATATCTATCGATTTTATAATTTAGACAATTTCTTAAGGCATACTTGTTAATCATGCAGTATTTATCCCCCAAAACTAATGTGTATATTCAATACCTGAAAGTTTTCAATTTTTAAAACAATTATTTTCAGAGGTCTGCTTACAAAGTCTCAATTGTCAATTTTATTCCATCTCAATTAGGCCCCATTTCTTGTACATTAACTTTAATCTCAGTTCAACTTATTCTCTATTTTTTTCTAATTTTTAGAACTAGAAGAGAGTAAAAATTCAAAGTTAAATTGAGATTAAAGTTAATCTGCATTGGACGAAAGTGAACATTGTACTCATAATTCAAATCTTCCTCTTAAATACGTGTAAACATTTTATGTTCCACCAATTTTATATTCCCCATTTCGCATAATTTGCCAGAATCGGCCAACTTTAAAAAAGTCACACCTATACGTTATGCCCTTTAGACAAAAAGTTCGCGTTTCTCCGGATAGAATTATTAATATTTAACGCTCCGAATTTTATGTTTTTTTTTTTCAGCGCGAGAAGTGATATAGACGGGAAGTATCTATACGATGTATAGACTCGGCCTTGAATTGAAACAGAGGCCTTGAACTGAAATAGTGGCAAAAGGTAAAGGAACCCTCGGTCTCTCGCGGCGCGCGACGTGACCCACACGATTGTGCGTATCGCCCGCGACTCGTCCGCGGCGGCGGCGGCAGCGGCTATAACATGTGGGTGTTTCGCAGAGCGTTCATACTTTATTTAGGATTCGCCGACTCGACCTCCGCCGAGGACAAACCCCCGAGGACTTTCCGATCTGCCTACATTAAAGGCAGCAGAGATTATAACCACGATCGCAAATGCGATCACGATAACGAGGTCGGTCGCGGCAGGGGAGGGGGGCGGGGGCGCGCCCCCGATTCCGGCCGCGGAGGGCATTCGCAAAGGAAATTCCGCAATTTCTATATCAAAGCCAATCGATTTCTAATCTATATTATAGCAGTTCGCTCGCGAAGGAATCGCCGCGGCCGGTGATGATCTGTCAATATTTACGAGCGCCGTACGCGACTCATCCGCGTGCGGGATCCTCCGCGATCGTTGCAACATTTTGCACAATTCGAGCGAAGATTGATTTCACCCGCATTGCGCGCGCCTCTATCTAGACCCGTTAATTATTTACGAAACACCACGTGTCGCACTTTTCGAAAGTAGCAACTTCTGCCACGTGATGTACTACGCGCATCGATAGAAAAAAACTCGTAACTGCTGTCATTATAAATATTTCTAAGCGCGCTTGTAAATTACGTTCCGCTCAATGCGGAAGAATGTTTCGGTCGGTGTCGTGATAAAAGCGTGTTAATTCTTTCTCAGATAGGATATCAGGAACCTGCGAAAGTCGTAACTGAGTGGACGACTTTATGTCACGAAACAGAGCTCGAGACGACGAAATTTCGAGGGATCTAATCGGAACATATCGTGGATTTCCTAAAAGGCGACCAGCGAAAATTGTCGCGTGAATTTGTTGGAATCGCGATTCACGTAAATATTTTGAGATAAAAATATTAAGTAGGCTCCGAAATGATAAATGAAAAATAGTGATTAAATGACTTTTAGAGCCAACGCAATTCTTGTAGCGTAACAACGTTCGTTTATTTAATTTATGAAAAAAAAGAAGAAAAACACACATATAAACGTTTTGTAAATTTCGAAAATAAATTAATATGGTAGAAAAAAACCCAAATCAAGGGTCGAAACATATGCGTTTTTATTCTTTTTTTTCACAATTTATAATGAACGAACATTGTTACGCTATACAAGAATTGCGTTGGCTCAAAAGGGTGTTTAATTACTATTCTGAATAAATGTATTTTGATTGGATGAGTTTCACGTAAGATTACACGATACGTTAATTAAACAGTGGATATATTAGATATGCATTAAGAATATATTTATACAGTATAAAATTAATATTTGCTGTAAATTAAATGCAATACATTGCTAATATTGCATATCATTACTATACCAATAAAGTGAAAGATTACCGATGTATTAAACATTCAATCGTTTGATTTAATATATACAGTTGACATAACACTTTAACTTTTTAAAATATTTTTTCCTAGTTTTTCTTGTAAAAAATGTGAAAAATAAAATTCAATTCTTAATCCTTAATTAATGTATTAATAGGCAAGGTCGATTGCACTCGATACTATAGTAATCTTTAAATTGCGTTCTTAATTGAAAACTAAATAATTAAATTATTCGTTTTTAGTTAATATATAAAATCATTCAAATTTAAGTTCTTTTTTAATCTAATTTATTATTCGTACTACAAAAGTTGTTTTGTAACTATTATTTTACTTATATTGACTCCCTCAATACGTATCGTAAGACGTATCGAATTCACGATTCTTACAATTAGTCCGCGAAAACAAAGTCACGATATGTCATGTGCGAGACGTAATATTTTAAATAAGCAGAGAGACTGTCCTCTTGATTAAGTTTTATTTAAGCGATGATACGCTTAGCACAATTGTTACAGTAGTGAATCAAAGTGCGTTTGTTACGAGTTGCTGACGAGAAGATTTTTTAAGGGTTTCAAATATAATATAGAAATCTTAGAATCCGAAGGTAGCGATTGTGCGGCAGGTAATAATATGGATATGAAAACGAAATGGTTATCTCTGTTATTAGCCAAGCATTCATTATTCATTTATGATTAATGTTCATATAATATGTTGACAGTATTAGAAAAAGGATAAAAAATGAATATACTACTGGCATTACATAATTAATAATTACATTAATTATAAAGTTAAGAATTTATATAATATTTTTTGTCCTATTTCAATATCATATTATCAGAAAAATATTTAGTGAGACTTTCTGTTCAAATTTCGTTTGTAATCGAACATTTTTCTAGAAGTTGTAGTTATTTTTTATTTACTCTACGAATAAAAATTAATATGATGCGAAAGAAAAATTAGTTTCTTGAAAAATTTAATGTTTTCTAATTAATGGATTGGCTTTTATTTTCAATTAGTCATTACAAAAAATTAGATTTGTAAATTAAAAATTCTATTGAGATTTGTTAAAATAAAACATGAGTGAGTGAGAGAGAGAGAGAGAAACTTGATTTTTTTATATTATTCTAAAGAGCATTTAATTAAATTTTGATTAATAGTAACGTGGCGACTCTATCAGTAATATACAATATGATCTCTCGTCCTACTAGGAAAGGTACAAAAGTTCGCCGACAGTAATGCAATGTCGATATCGCGATAATATTCGCGCGCTCTATTACAGGTATCTATTACAACGTCGCGATATCCCCCCCTTCAATAATGTATCTTATAATACCTTGAATAATAAAAACTTGCCGAGCGAGGGTGAGAGAAAGAGTCTATGGACTCTGGACGGCGTGGCGACTTTAAGACAATAATATAAGCGCGCGGTCTGTTTTCCAGGTAGGTAAAAGTCGATACCTCGGAAATGTAAGCCTCTCGGCCGAGCCTCTTTTGTAACGTCGTTTTACGATGAAACGTAAATGAATCGCGTATACGCACAACTTTGTGTTGCCGTCTCTTATAATCACATAGGCGGCAAATGGCCACGTGATTGTAGCGGTCGTTCCTGATGGCCGAGTCGTGATGGCCAGGACGGGGCTATTTCTATTGGACTTACGCACGCACCGGCTAATTTTCTGCTTTCATCGATGTTTTCGTATGTACATACATATGCCACATGTTCGTGCTTACCCGTCGAATCGATGATCATCATCTTTCATCGGCATCACGCGATACGTATTTTCCCACTCTTCAATCTATATCTACATTTGCGGATTACGATTACCTATCGTTTCAGTTCACTCACGACAGCTAAATTAGGTTTCCGCGGAGATAATTTCGAATTCGGCGAACCATCTCGCGTTAAAAACTCACGAGGACCTTGCGAATAATTTATGATAGCAGCTTAAAAAATTTGAGTTATTAAATTGCCAGCGATATTCGCTGCTTTGTTGTCCAATAAACAAAGGATTAAGAACTTTGCGCAGTTCCAAATATAGATTATTTACAATTATTTTATCTTTGCTCGCGAAGAAAGGATCGCCGTTATTCATTTAACATAATGTATTCACGCATGATATGCATATAATTCTCGCGATCTTATCTGTGAGAAGTGATTTACACTTATCTCTTTCATATACGACGTGTGTATCGTACTGATAGTACTATTTAATCAGAGATAACGATGTAACGCTAGCGCGGACAAATATGCATTACTGAAAAACGTCTTCTATCCACAATTTTTTTTTTCACATCTCGCGAGAGTCGCACGAGCGCGATTCTATATGATTTTAAAAAGTTGCAGACTCTCTCTCTCGCTCTCTCTGCATGCCTCCCTAAATCAATCCGCATTTTATCTATTCGACTTTGCTTGCACCGATAACGCGGATGACATTGATTCGATGTGCATGTCGATCTGTTGATTTCTCACCAAGTGGAAACTTAATTTTCAGCGTTTATTATTGTATCTTCGACGAAGAATTTTCCGTTATCTGATTCGCGACTTAAAGAAATCGTGCTCTTTATAGAAAAGAAACCGTGAGATCTCACGATTTCTGCATATCATCGCTTATCTTTCATACCATGACGGCAAATAGCTTTTATATAGAATATATATCGCAAGACTTCAAATAATTCTAAACGTTTAGCGATAATATATCGCCAATAGGTCATCGGAAATCATGATTTTCTGTAACCCGATCAGATGATGCGTATATATTATTTATAATCATGAACTTAACAGATGGAATAAATGTTTATATGAAGAAGAGATCAAGTATCTTCATGTCAGCATTTCTGGAAAGTGTGCTTCTGAACCATTTTAAAAGCCACGTGAGAGGATTTTATATCGCAAGACTACTCAGAATACATAATTGCATAATTCAAATTCAATTTTAAGATGTGCAAGAGCTTTTTGTATCTGGGATCATTCACGCGGTGTCTCAAATCGCTATCGAGTGCACCGACATTTTTATTAACTAATCCTTATTAAGAATTAATTATATCAACCCTTTACAGTTCCAAATTCGCGAAACGAAAATGAATGGAAGATCAAGTATTTCGCTCTCTTCTTTTATCCAATCTGTTGGTCTAACGTGAATCGAAGAATTTTTTTACCCGCAGGAATTTATGGAGATCTTAAAAAAAAAAAATACAGCTCGTCGATCGGAATTGCATTCGAATGCTTCGAAGGATTATGCGATGGACTATTTTGCAACGCATTACAATCGAATCTAGCTTGATTCAGGACCGCAAAAAAATTTCTCTCGCAGATTCGGACACGAGGACGAATCCACGGAATTGCAAAGACGACGGCTTTTGTCATACTCACGATTGCGCTTCAGTCGTCGCCTAGTCACGACGATCAGGGTTTTCTTCAGCTTCCAGTTTCGCGACAACCGCGATCACTTATTCCATCGTGTCGGTCGCACGGTAGTCCGCGCGACGAACGAACGGCGCGAAGCACTGGCCGTGCGCGACAATGCCACGAATGTCTCGCGCGCGCGCGCGCGCGAATTGTTTTTCGCCGGACGAGTCGCGTAGCCGCGGGTATGTATGTATGTATACGTATGTACCTCACTCGCGCGAGCTTGCGTGCTGACGAGAGATCGGCCGCGATCGCCGCGCGTATGACCGTTTTGAAGTATATGAACAACTGTATGGCATTGCTGGCGGGCGTAAACAATGGGAAACAATGGCACGGAGAGAGGGGCACCGATTAAAAAACACTGATCGTCGCCTTTACGAAACGGCCGAGTGCCACGTACACGTGTGTGTACCGCTGGATCATCCCGCTCGTTAATGTCATATTAATTCGTATTTCGCGACAATCGCATATGTATAATGACTTGGCGTCGCGATTGTCATGTAATCAAAATCTGTGGCCACTATTTTTCAAATTGCGAAATTAAAATTCACCTATTTTATCTAAATATATTATTGAAAGCATGTTTGATTTTTTTTATTAAGAATTAAGCTAATATACTTATATATATTTTATTAAGAATTAAACTAATTATATATATATATATGTATACATATATAAAAAATTATATATTAGGATACCAGCTCAATTCAAGAAAATCAATATTTTTAAGTAAAACAAATTCATGCAGCGAGCTTTAATCTAACTATTTTTTCTTCCCGTACTGATGATTTAATTTAACTATTTTTTCTTCCCCCGTACCGATGAAATGCGTTCGATCAGACAACCGGTCTTGAATGCCATTCTATATAAAGAGATAGTCGATGAAACTATGAGATTATTCAATTATCAAAATCTCGGACGTAGATCTTGAAGTAACGCGGCGAGAGTTTAAACGCCGATATCGTGACGTCGCGGGACGACGCTTTCATTCACGAAACTGCTCTATTTATGCAATTCCCACATTATGCAACGCGCGAACTTGAATGAAACGCGGTGAAACGCGGTCGTTGCAGCCACGATACATATACGTATATCGATTCGGCGATTTGACAGCCTAAAATCGAAGCTGTCCGCCGTTTATTATCGACAGTCACGCAGCTCAACATGTATATAGAGACATTGTAAACAATAGAGTTGCGCGCGATATGATATCGATAAATGTCCATATCTTTTGTGCGGAAAGAGATAATTCTTTTTTCAACATGCTATTATTTTTTTAAACATGGGACGCTACTAGCGCTATTGCACCATTTTGTCCTTATCTGGTGGCTAATTAACGATAAAGGAAAAAAATGACGCGCATACTTATACTTAATAGCCGCGATAGCGCGCGTCCCCGAATGCAGTCGTCGCGTCGCACTACTCTTGTTTCGGCGTCTAAAATGAACGACAAAGATGGAACGACGCAGTAGCGTCGGAAAAGTACATAATCTCACCGGCAGTTGGCGCTCGCAGACGATTATTGTTTTCGAGATTCTTTTGCGAGCCACGGACTGAGGTGGATGTCTGTACTCTGTGGCCGAGTATTCCATCAGCACGTTTTGGTATTGCATCATTCGATTAACAGTTTTCTGCTTAGGATTAGTATCCATTTAGTCATCAAGTATTGGTATTCATTTATCAAGATTTAGTACTCACTCATCTAAGATAGAAAGACTGGCCAAGTGTACCCCTGTACAGGGGACCGGGGCCACCCAAAGGAAAAAGAAGAAGAAGAAGATTATTGTTTTCAAATCTAATTGACTGGCTGGTCGGCACGTAACCTAAAAGTCGAAAAGTGAAGTCCAATTAATTGTTACAATGGTAAGCTTGTTATTTTCATTTCTATTCGAGAGACCGACCTCGCTCCCTTTAATACTGTTTAACTCTAATGCTGTTTAACTCTTTCCAGTTACCTCTCACTTTGCTGAAAACGGCGCAAAACCACCCCATGGTAAGTTGATGGATTTTTGTGCAATATCTTTTGAAGAAGAATACTTGAATATATATGTAGTCCTTGTGTGTATTAATAATCCAACTAAGCCTCTCGTTGCAGCTGGTGGAGCTGAAGAATGGGGAAACGTACAACGGTCACTTAGTCAGCTGCGATAACTGGATGAACATAAACCTCAGAGAGGTTATATGTACCTCAAGGGTAAGAGCATTACCGTGTCCATGTTGATCCTAGGGAAGACTTCTTGTTTACCTCGAGTTCAAATTCAATTAAACGGATCTGTGAAAACAGTGAGAAAAGTTGTACTGAACGAGATTGTTTCTTTTATGGCAAAAGCGAAAGCTCGAGTAAAACCTGTCGGCACATACTAGATATTTGAAACGTTTAATATTTTGTTTATGCTAGTATTTGTATTTTACTTCATTTTCCCTATTTTTTTTATTTTTATTTAAAAGCGTTTTCAATTCGTAATTAATTAAAATTCTAGAGTTAAGTTATAGATATTCAATATAAAATCTGACAATGTTATTAGGATGGCGACAAGTTCTGGAGGATGCCAGAGTGCTATATAAGAGGTAGCACGATAAAGTACCTGCGGATCCCTGACGAAGTGATAGACATGGTGAAGGAAGACATACAGATGAAGTCGAGGGGTCGCGGCGAGATGAAGGGTCGAGGCCAGAATCAGAGGGGACGCGGCGGTGGTAGAGGTAAACAATTGTGCTTCACAAAATTAAAACCTACGTAAGAAACGTCTCTAAGCGTGCTTTCTGCAAACTGTCGATTTTTTTCTCAATGAGAATGTTCAAGTATTCAAATTTGAGAGTTGCAAGCAATTGGAAATTTACAGTCTTTGAAAAAAGTTTCAAACGAATAAATGAAATTATGCCCTTTCTACGAAAGATATCCTATATCCGTATTATTCTGTAGAAAATCTAATCGACAATCTGAAAATCTTTAAAGCAATTTATTGATCGTTGCTCGTTGCGTCTTGCAGGTACCTTTGGCAGAGGAGGACGAGGTTCTGCACCATTAGGCCGCGGAGGTAGCACGCAAGTTGGCAATAAATCACAAAATAAACCAAGACCTAAATGAAACCATTAAACCATATAGTATTTTTTTTTTATTCTACTTCAATTTACACGACTCTGCGCAAATACCTTGAAAATATCAAGCTTGTTTCGCGCAGATTTGTGATTATCCAATTCCTTATTATTTAATGTAATCTTGTATATGTAAAGTTAATATCACGTTTGATTTATACGAAACTACGGAGACACATTAATGCCCGTGTGACATTGTACTTAATTCTACGTATACGTTTACATTAACGTCGACTATAATTCTTTTTACTAGCAATACATTTTTAATTGGTATTCTAGCGGATCCAGATTTTTTTTTTTTTTAATTACGCGTCAATCTCCAGATCGTATTGTGAAAGATTGTTAAACAAACACATGTTTTTTCACAACTTTATATAAATTGTACAATTTTATTCCTTAGATTTTGACCTTTGAAGTGACAAAAAGTTCAATTACGTTAAGACAAGATATATTAAAGTTGTGTCGGATACACATACACATTGGATCCGCGGAATACTAGTTAAGAAAATTTCGATTAAGCGAATATCGATTAGGATTAAGAATATGGAAACAATTTTTCTTTCAACTTTTTGTCGCAAATTGCAGTAGTTATATGTAGAAGAATCAATATAATCGTTGAATTATAAGGAGCTATTCAAACAAAAAAAATGTGATATCCATAATTCTGTATAATTTTGTACGATTAATTTGGAAAAAATAATATAATTCTATACACAAGAATATAATACGTAACTGTTTCTAGTGTTTCAATTTTAGGTTAGTCATACCGAAGTCAGAATTAATGAAATCTTAATTTAATTATTTCTAAATCAGTAGGAAAATTATCAATTGCAAAAAATAGATCTATATTTATAAAAAGTTTTTATTTTAGTCGTTCATACAGGATTATGTAACGACTGTGCATTCTTTCTGATATACCTACTATACACAACACTTATTTTCTAGTAAATGGAATAAGACATGTAATGTACACTTTTATCAATAGTTTATTGTATTAGTGGTCAGAGTAGTTATGATAGTCAATAGATCAACCAGTCATATCCGGTCATATAATTGAAAATAGCTGATAAACTTATACAAAACACGGTATTTTTGCAATGAATGCACAATTACGTTTTTTCTTTCGGATATTTGTAATTCTTATTTGGTGCCCGTCCTTAATGTTATGAGAATATGTTACGTGGAATAAGAAGTTACTGCAAGCAAAAAAAAAGAACGAATTATTTAAATGCAGTTCTAAATACTAATTCATATTTAGTATCATTTCATATCTAATTGAATGTACTCACTTAAATTACGTGCTTTAAGATACTGTGACTTAGTGCGTCTTAATTCATCGTCCCTCAACTGTAAGTAAAAAAAAAAACATTGAATTTTAATACCAGATTGTGGGAGAAGTAATAAGTTAAATTTTTGAAAAGTCAAACTTACTGTATGAAGCGAGGTCGATTTCGTCCGGTAATTCTGTAATATTTACGTCAAACCTTTCTTGAACATCATTTAATATTTTGGCGTCACTTTCGTCGCTTACTAATGTAATGGCAAGACCCTGTGAAACAACATTCCCAAATGAGTAAATCATATATCTATAATTAGTAAAAGCGAAAAATAATTCACAACTCGAATTAATTGCCAACATTAAATATTTTGATTTGTTTGACTTCCAGTATAATAATGAATATTTGATAATATAAAAAGTTACTATAAAACCACATCCGATACCTTATATAATTGAATATCTTATATATCATAAAATGTTAAAGACTTGTTAAATGAATCAAGTGTGTAAACCATTCTTTGAAGTAAATACTTGGAAGAATCTTCATCAGAATAGTGGGTAGTGATAAGATAGTCATCACGAGAAGATAAGAAAAATTATCGTCATCATGTGAAGATTCTCCGCGATAAGTAAAGTAATATAAACAAAGAATTTACCTTTGTACCAAAACGACCAGCGCGTGCTACTCTATGCAAGTATGTGTCGGAATCTTCTGGCATATCATAGTTGAATACGATGTTCACACGTTCTATATCCATACCCCGACCGAACAGGTTTGTCGCCACCAAAATACGCTGAAAATATATTATTTGGTTTTTCAGTCATCTTATATGTGATCTATTTGATTCGATTCAATTTATATGAAACACGTATGAAATTTCGTAGAACTTACAAATGCATGGATTACTTACTTTCTGAAAATCTTTGAACTGCTGATATCTGGATAATCGCTCTTCCTGCGTCATGCCTCGGTGAATGCCAATCGCGGGGAAATTCTGTTCGGTCAAGAGTTGCGCTAAAGCCATACATCTTTGTACAGACTTCACAAATATGACAACCTATGCAGAAGTAATTGTTAAAAGGTAAATTGATAGTGTCACATTGGTGTATCTCAAGAAGAGAAACATTTCTAATTCGATATTTTGTATATCATAAAATGTTAAAGATTTGTCAAATGAATCAAGTGTGTGTAAATCACTCTTTGAAGTAAATACTTGAAAGAATCTTCATCAGAATAGTGGGTAGTGATAAGATAGTCATCACGAGAAGATAAGAAAAATTGTTGTCATCATGTGTGAAGATTCTCCGCGCGATAAGAAAAATACGTATATCCGCTGTAGATTGGCCTAGTTTGCAAACAAACCTGATTGAACTCAAGTACATCAAGTAGTTCAAACAACTTCTTGTTCTTCTCGTTCTCCTTTAACTTAACGTAATGCTGTTGGAGACCGTTCAAAGTGAGCTTCGCTTCGTCGTCGACATAGACCTCCATAGGCTGCACAAAGAATGTTATTTCATAAAACAAAACAGATCCGTGGAACAAATTAAAATTGCCTATAAATGTGATTCTCAGGCTGCAGAATTTTTTTTGCGGCTGTCTGCAGTCTCGATGTATCCATCGTTCTCGCCGTCGTGCGATCGAATGTATGTGATGGGACGTCCGTTCAAAAATCAATGAAACAAAATAAGTAAAAGTAAAAATAAAATGACACTGTTCTATTCCTTGACGCAACTGTACCGTTTGCAAAAAAATAAAAGGTCGGTGTTTTTTAAAAAGAAATCTTTAAGCGCGACACCAAAAGACAAAGCCAAACCATTTTTCTTGTAAATGTACTACCAAATATGTATATCTTTTTCCTCCTTCGGAGACAGCATTAAGACAAAGTTACCGTATATATCCGTAAACAATCGAAAGTCCCGTGGCAATGGGACTTCCGCAATTTCAAGTTGCGGAATATAATCGTCGATCGGGATTAGATAAATTACATACGGTCCGGCGACTTCCATCTCTGGGTAGTGCCAACAACGAAAACTCAGCAGTTTGTCCCAACTGAACTTAAGAAGGCGCACTCATGACAGAACGCTCGGTCACACATCCAGCATCCGCTGGCCGCTCGATGCCAAAATCTCTTCTCCCAAATTTCTGGCACTCTTAAGAGGATGCCCAGAATCGACTCGCATAACTCCGGTTGGTATAGACGCTCGGCATTTCTCACTCTCGGCATCCGTTTTTATTTTTTTATTTTTTAAGTCGCGACCCGACTTCGTCACTCGTGCGAAATATAAAGAGAGCGCGGTTCTCGCGGGGAGAGGATACGCGGCAGAGGTACGCGCGTGATGTAGCTTTCACGGAGGGCTTTTACACGGCTTTCTACGACACGAAATCGCACGATTCATGCACGTTTGCACTCTCTTTTGCATTCTCGTTGACTTCACTCGGTAACTAAACGGACCGTGTGGATCGCAATCGGAAATCTTTTGCATGAGATATAAGAGAACTTTAATGTAATATGCGATTCGAATTTGCGATTGGATGGACGCGAATATCACGAGCTACGCTACGCTTCCGTTTCATGTATATCTCTTTTCCCTAACTGATTCCTAATCATTCCCCTGAGTATCCTCTTGCATCTTCTTTCTTGCGCTCTTCTGTCTTCAGGTTGTCTTGAGGTCTTCTTAGCCCCCCACCCTCGTAATTGCAAACAAACGCAGATCCTAATTCTAATTCTAACGCTCCTGATCGGTTACCCGTTAAAGAATGTAGAAATATTTCGTATCCCTACCCTTCTTTTCCCTGAACGTATCTTTATATCTTTATATATGCGTTGTCCCTTGAATGCGTAGCAACTAATTAAAGGGGACTTTATCTCGATCGGGAACTCTAACTCGGATCTCTCTCCCGAGCACCGTGTCGAACGGTCGACGAACTCGCGGTTTTAGACAAATATACTCTTCCTCTCCGTATGTATATGCAGATGCAGATGACACGTCCAACAGAGTTTAGACTTGTAATTGGAATCAGAAAGAGCAACGAGATATCGTGTTGGACGTGAGTGTCGAGCGTACAACTGTGTCGTTTATCGAACGTTATCGAATGAGATTTCATTTTTTTTTCCGAACTCGGTATTCATTCCTTCGAAGTGGCGTTTAAATCGCCTAACCCGCGGATGCGCCGACATTGATATTTATAATGTGGCTTGAGCTTTGGCCTGGACACGAATGTGCCAACGAGGTAGGAGCAATTGTAGATTGAAGTGAGGAGGAAGATTGTGTAATTACATCTTGCATGAATTTTTTGCAGACAGGACGTATCTCCTTGGACAGCGTGGCACTGAACATCATGACTTGCTTGCTGTGCGGTGTGCTTCGGAATATTTCCTGTACGTCCCGGCGCATATCTGCAACAGCAACACAGCGTGGTAAATTTTACAGAAACGTTCAGTTTGATTGTGGGATATTTAGTCAGCATGGATCCTGGATAAGATCGTTAGTAATACATCATGCGATTCTTTTCGACAAAATTATTTTTTAATAAACTAGTATTGGTTTAGTATAAATTAGGATATAGTACTGGTTTGTGACGCACCTAATAACTCAAGCATCTTGTCGCACTCGTCAAGAATGAAGTGTTTCAGGTGTTTTAGATTCAGTTTCTTGTTGCGTACAAGAGCGAGAATACGACCGGGGGTGCCGACAACAATGTGAGGGCATACTGTCTTCAAGACCTCTTCGTCTTTCTGGATTGGTAAACCACCGAAGAATACGCCAACCTATAACGAAAGGAATTTTATCGTAAAAACCAAATATTATAAACCTCAATTTTTAGTAATATATAGAATAATTTGTAATATACAAGATACTGATTAATATCCATTGAAAGGTAAAAATATATTGCTGTAATCCAAATTCACTGCTACATTATGTGAAGAGTATTTAACGTGAAGTATATGTAATATTCTATAATTCATTAAAGAATTCATATGTGTATAAATATAAAATTTTGTTAAAAAAATTTTTATGTTAAATTTATATTGTTAAAAAACTTGAAAAACGCATGCAACTCTGTTATTCTACTTATTCGCGCGTAGCTTATACACAATTAAAACTTTGTAGAACTTACTTTCACGTATGGCATGTACTTGCTGAACCTCTCATATTCTTTACTGATTTGAAAAGCCAATTCTCGAGTATGACACATTACTAGAACGTAGACTTGGTTATTATTCTCCGTTGCTTCCAGCTGTTGCAGAGTCGCTAATACGAACACAGCTGTTTTCCCCATACCCGATTTTGCCTGGCACAGTATATCCATGCCAAGAACCGCTTGAGGAATGCATTCGTGTTGCACTGTAAGCATAGGAAAAGTTTATCTATTAATATATTGTAAAAAAATATCTTATGGTAAAGATTGGGAAGAGGTAAATAAATCAGAAATGCCTTGTTTCGATCACAGAAACTTCAGCTGTCCCTATCTAGCATTAAAGGATAAACCTAACTCATCATTGTAACATAAAGAAACAAAGATTAAAGTAAAATGAAGATTGTTATAAAGAAACAACTGTTCACCTTCAGACGGATGTTCAAAACCACAGTCGACAATGGCACGAAGAATTTCTGGCTTGAGAAGGAAATCTCGAAATCCACTGCTGTGGATGGAGACATATGTGCCCTTGACTTCCTTCTTAGCTGGAACATCTCCACTTCCGTCAACAACCTGCTCAGTCTGTTCCTCGTCTTCATAATCCAAAAGATCGTCGTTATCTGCCATTGTATCCTGCTTACTTCGGATCGGATTAAAGATGAAGACAAGACCTGTAATACAATTATATAAATTAGTAGAAGTACTCAATTTAAGAATTAGAAATCAAGTTTATTCTTCAGATAAAAAAAAAGAAAATTTTTTAGTAATTTCTCTTTCTCAGTGTCCAGAAATACATATTGCACATGTCACTGAAATATATGATGCATTGATTACGTTCTATGATACAACTTATGCAAGCATAATGAAAACGTATGTACCAATCAAAATACATCCAATGTATAATATGTGTTAATATGCATGAAATGTATTTCTGAACACTTATAGAAAGAACGGACACGACTTTGCCTTCTATTGCCAGGCCATATTTAGAAAGTATAGGTTCAACCTTTCTCCAAGTCTTTCAATTATATTTTCAATATTATAAATTCATGGCGTAGTAAAATATAATAAATGTACATGCATAATAAAATATATGTAAAGTATATAAATATACATATTTGCATACATATTCAAGTGAAAATCTAAAAAAATCATATAAAAAGTATATATTCGTATACATATTAATCTATTTAAAAAAATGTATCCAACTACTATTATACATCCAATTAAAATAATATAAAAATATCAAAAATAAAATATGCTCATAAATTACTTTTAATTATATAAAAATTATTCGAAAAAACAGTCGAGCTACATGTTTAAGAATTACATTATTACAATCATGGTTGCTATTTTCGATCCAGTGTTCCGACAGAGATCGATTATCATTATCAAAATCGTTGCTTTCTAATACTTTCGATTTGCTCCCCCC